CCCTCAAGAGTGCTTTTTGGCACCCAGTGCAGGGCCAGAGGGCTTTGAGATAATGGCAGATTTGAATGGAATGTGCTAGACTGGATGTATAGCTGCTACAGCTGTTTAGCTCTTAATTGGCAGGCTCTGTGCTCTGCATGTTAGAATCTAGTGATAGTGGCTGCTATTTGCTGTAGTGCTTATCATCTTACTTTGCTGTGCTTAGGAACATTTTGATAACAGCACTGGCCATGTGCCTGGGCTGGCATATGGCCAGGGCATTGCTGCTGTTCCTGTGCTGCTATTCTTCTACTGCTGTAGTGTAGGAATGCTGTAACTACATCCTGAACTCCAGCTGTAAGGTCTGTCAACTGTGACCCCAGGATGGAGCAGATACACCCCAAACCATCTGTGGCTGTGGATAGGACCACAGTGGAGCAGGTAAACCCCTGAGTCGTAGAATCATAGAAAAATAGAATAATAGAATTGTTCTAGATTGGAAAAGACTTGTAAGATCATCGAGTTCAACCATAAACCTAACACTGCCAGTTCCACCACTAAATCGTGTCTCTAAGCTCCACATTGACAAATCTTGTAAATACCTCCAGGGATGGTGACTCAACCACTTCTCTGGGCAGCCTGTTACAGTGCCTGGCAACTCTTTCAGTGAATAAATTTTTCCTAATATCAATTTAATCCTCTCCTGGCACAACTTGAAGCTGCTTCTTCTTGACCTGGCTCTTGTTACTTGGGAGAAGAGACCAAGCCCACCTCATTACAGTCTCCTTTCAGGTAGTGGTAGAGAGTGATGAGATGTCCCCTTAGCCTTCTTTTCTCCAGGCTAAATAGCCTCAGTTCCCTTAGATAGTCCTTTCTAGACCCTTCACCAGCTTGGTTGCTCTTCTCTGGACATGCTCCAGCACTAGACCCAAAGCTGAACACAGTACTTGATATGCAGCCTCACCAGTGCTGACTACAGGGAGACAATCACTTCCCTACTTCTGCTGGCCTCACTATTCCTGATGCAGGCCAGGGTGCTGCTGGGCTTCTTGGCCACTTGGGCACACTGCTGGCTCATATTCAGCCGGCTGTCGACCGGTACTCCCAGGTCCTTTTCTGCCAGGCAGCTTTGCAGGGAAAGGACTGCAGCATGTGGTTAAGTCCATCCTGGAGCATGGCAAAGGGGAGGAGTTCATTGCAGTATTAAACCTTATAGTCTGTTTCAAAGGGACCAGGCGTAGAGACTGGAATAGATATAACTTCAAATTATTGTAACCTGTTGTATGAGTTGTGTATTACAGGAAGTACCGTAGCAGAAACCACTTGAACAGAGAACAAGCTTCACAGGGAGCCCTGCAAGTGTGACCCAACCTGAGTATGTTTTGGCATCTAAAACTCCACACAACACACTGCCTTTCCTGTCCTGAGCAACTACTGTAGACCAACTCAGGAAAAAAGCGAACTCAACGGACATTATATAAACACTTCACAGGGGTGACCCCCAGCCTAAGAGAATGATATCTGTCCATAAATCAAAGGATGGGAGCAGGAGAGGTGTGTGTGTGATTACTCAGTAATCCTTGGATAATGGGTGACCTGAGTGTGATACAAATTATATAGAATAAGGGGTAGAGATTGTACTGGTTTTTGCTGGGATGGACTTAGTTTTCTTCATACCAGCTCGTATAGTACTATGGTTTGCATTTGGTTTTATAATTAAAATTTTATCATTTTATCTATGATAAATTACAGCTTATGCAGGACTCAACTTTCAAATCAGACCAACATTTGAATAGTTACACTTGCATAGCCCTAGTAGGCTCTGAAGGTACATTTTCATAACAAACAACCCTTCTGTTAATCAGCAAATTGAGAAACAAATATATTTCAAATTGTACCTAAACAAAACCTTTCTTTTTTTTTTTTTTAATTTGAATTTGATTTAGCTGTATAATGTTTGTTTTTACTTAGTACATCTATCACTACTGAATAAACATTTAACAAACTGAAAGACGTATGTGACAAAGATGGATTGTAACTAGGGAGGAGGAATCCTCTGGTGCTAGATAAGGGAAGGGACCTGAGCACATACACGTGACACAGAGCAGCAGTTAAGAAACCGTCTACTTTCATGTTGGTAACACTTTCTTTGAAGATAATAAATACTCTTGATAACAAGCTTTTAACCAAATAGTTGAGTACTTGAAATTGTGTTATTTTTGCATTTTAGTGCTTAGCAATGTATTGCTCCTAATCTCCACTTAAGAGTTCACCTAAAGCTATCTTGAAATGTGACAGATAGGTTCTCTGTACACAGATTATGCCTTTCAGCCTTTGACCTTTCTGAGTAATTTTCCTGCTTACTTTGCCTTCCTGCAAACCGATCACTGATGCGAATGCTAGTAAGTCATAAAAAACCCGTGAACAAAGTATATACACACTTGGAGCAGTGTGTGAGAAACAGCTGACCCAGCTGGAGAGGCTGAGGAACTCCTCGGCAGAATGGAGCTTCGGGATGATACTGAGAGTCAAGGTGGATATACAGATGAGATGTCACCATTTGCATGTGAGAAGAAAAACAAAACAGTGAAGTACAAAGTCATCTGTGTTGTAAGTATGTGCTGTTCTTCAGGGCTGCTAGTTTAGCAGCTCTCAGATCTGCAGAAAATTTGGAAGTTTCATTGCATTAATATAATCACTCGGCTAATTTGTTAATTGCTGCTTAAAATTTTACAGAATGAAGGCATTTTACAGGAGCCATGCAGCTGCCATGTAAATAATAACTAGGGTTTTTGTTGTTTTTTAAATCTTTTTTTTTTTGTCACCAATATGCAGTTTTAAGCTTCTGTGATTACAAAAGAAACAAACATTAAACTTGTGTGTTTATATGTACCTGTGTTTGTTTTCACAAGCTCTTGCTTCTTTAAACTGGAATTTAGAGAAAATGACAGGTAATTATTTTGAAAAGACTAAAAACTTAATTTTGAAAATAGCCCCATTAAAAAGAGAGTAACATTATGATACTCTTCAGCTCTGTATCATCAGAACAATTTAATGTGGTATAACTTCCTATTTAATGCTACATTGTGCAAGGATTGCATAAAATATGAAGGAAATACTGGAAATTGCAGAAAAAAAGAGAAGTCAAAATATCAGACTTTTTTTTTCCTTAAGTCTTCAGTAAAAAGAAATGAAACATGAGAAACAATGTGGGAAAAGTAAATTATACTTTTAAGAGGTACTTGGAAGACTAAACTGAAAAATTTAAGTATGCTAAAACATACTCATTCTTTCAAGTGCACTAGTTTTTAATATTCTACAACATTTATCTACATCTTGAGTGTCTGCTAAGCTGAAGAGGCTTACTCAGCTCTTTCCCAGTCTCTGAAATGAGCTGCTGCTTTCTGTGATGGGGTTTTCTTGGGCTGTTTGTCTTTTTCCAGTTTCCTTTAACTTCACTAACGAGATGACTGATCATGAGAAACTGGCATGTAGATGAAAATTTCATTCTGGCAGCCTTAGTCCTGCTGAGTTTCTTAAGAAATCCTTGTGAACTTTTCAGGAAAATACAGAAGCTAAATAAAAGGAATTACCTTCTCTTTACACTGATTAAGAATTTGCAGAACAGGTGATTATATTACTTCCTCTTGTCTTTCCCCAGTGAAAATTTCCCTGATTACAACATGGAACTGGCCATAGGTTAACAGTTTGGTATCAAGGCATTGGTTTATAAGAAGTTCACAAGGTAGTAATTCTTGTGCCTCTTCTATCATCAGGCTCAGAATGCCTCCATTTTTTTGATGAAAAAGTTCAGAGTGATGATTACTTCATAAGAAATAATACTTTACTAGAAATAATACAGAGTTAATTTCTAATAAATGTAGCAGTTAATCATAATTATTATGCCAACAGCATCCTGGCCTGCATCAGGAATAGTGTGGCCAGCCAGGGTAGAGAAGTGATTGTGCCCCTATACTCTGCATGGTTGAGGCCACACCTCAAGTACTGTGTGCAGTTCTGGGTCCCTCACAACAGGAAGGATGTGGATTTGCTGGAGAATGTCCAGAGAAGAGCTACCAAGCTGGTGAAAGGGCTGGAGAACAAGTCCTTTGAGGAGAGGCTGAGGGAACTGGGATTATTTAGTTTGAAGAGGAGGCTGACAGGAGACCTCATTACTCTCTATAACTACCTGAAAGGAGGTTCTAGGGAGGTGGGAGCTGGCCTCTTCTCCCAGGTGAATAAAGACAGGACAAGAGGAAATGGCCTGAAGTTGCACATGGGAGGTTTAGACTGGATATTGGAAGATTTTCTTCACTGAAAGAGTGGTTGGACACTGGAACAGGCTGCCCAGGGAGGTGGTAGAGTCACCATCCCTAGAAGTGTTTAAAAAAAGTAAGATGTGATGCTTAGGGACATAATTTAAGCACTGAATGGGTAGATTAAGTCATGTTTGGTGGATTTAGGTTATGGTTGGACTTGATTATCTTCAAGGTCCTTTCCAACCAGGATGATTCTGTGATTCTGTGATAATTGTGAACTGTAATTTTCCTGTGTCTGTGTGACAGGTTTTGCTGTGTGCTTTGGTGGTTGTATCCCTGGGACTAGGTTTAGGACTAGGACTGAACTGTGGAGACCAGGAGCAAGGTATGTTTGTGACACTTTCAACATAAATACTGCCGAAGCTAGATCTGGTGGAGGCCTTCAGCAGATGCTCTCTTATAGCATGATGTAAATGCTCTGTGAAAACTTAGCACCTGTGAAAATAAAGTTCTTTCATTTTTCAAGCTAGGTTGTATAAAACCTGTACACTCACAATCTATACATGAAAAACCTATCCTAAACCCCTGAGTGCCTTGCTTCTCCTAGGAGTACTAAACCCTGTTCACAACAGGTTTGGAGATTTTATCATAATAATACTTTTAGAAAACTTGAGAAAAGAGTAATTATTGCATATAATACCTTGCAATTATCTAAACTATATATTTTATAGAAGAAAAGTGAAAGTTACACCAAATCAGCACATTAGCAGTGTGGTGCCTCTGTCTGTAGGCGCCACAGAGCAACCCTAATTATGGACTGACTGACTTTATTAGCTACATTGAAAACCAGACCTACCTGGGAAAGATGAATTAGCAACACATGGTATTACACTGTGGCGTGGGAGGGGAAGCCTCAGTCCTGAGCAGCATGCTCCTTTGTGGAGGTGTGTTTGCTAAGAGGGCGGTGGGAAGAGTGCTTGCTGATAAGGAGCAAAAGGAGTAGCAGTTGAGATGGGTGCTGTGGGTTTGTGGTCTTAGGAGGAGGGGCTAAGAAAGGAATCAGAAGGACCTGTCATTCTGTATGTTTAAAAAACAGCACAGTGTTTGCCCTTGGCGGTAGTACAACTGAGTTTGTTTATGTATATGCTCAGATAAGTTTTCTTATAGCTCCTGTAATTGTAGTGATTATTCCAAGTAAATGTTAATGAAATACTAAACTCCTGACCTCACATAGTTATGTAAATATTATTAAGAAATTAGAAGCATGGATAGTAAATTATAAGCGGTATGAACAGTTTCATTACAGACAGAGGAAAAGGTTTATATTTTTTCTGACTGAGACTCACCATGCTATATTCTATACCATTTTAAATCAGGTAGACAATACAGAGTTAATTTCTAATAAATGTAGCAGTTAATCATAATTATTATGCCAACAGCATCCTGGCCTGCATCAGGAATAGTGTGGCCAGCCAGGGTAGAGAAGTGATTGTGCCCCTATACTCTGCATGGTTGAGGCCACACCTCAAGTACTGTGTGCAGTTCTGGGTCCCTCACAACAGGAAGGATGTGGATTTGCTGGAGAATGTCCAGAGAAGAGCTACCAAGCTGGTGAAAGGGCTGGAGAACAAGTCCTTTGAGGAGAGGCTGAGGGAACTGGGATTATTTAGTTTGAAGAGGAGGCTGACAGGAGACCTCATTACTCTCTATAACTACCTGAAAGGAGGTTCTAGGGAGGTGGGAGCTGGCCTCTTCTCCCAGGTGAATAAAGACAGGACAAGAGGAAATGGCCTGAAGTTGCACATGGGAGGTTTAGACTGGATATTGGAAGATTTTCTTCACTGAAAGAGTGGTTGGACACTGGAACAGGCTGCCCAGGGAGGTGGTAGAGTCACCATCCCTAGAAGTGTTTAAAAAAAGTAAGATGTGATGCTTAGGGACATAATTTAAGCACTGAATGGGTAGATTAAGTCATGTTTGGTGGATTTAGGTTATGGTTGGACTTGATTATCTTCAAGGTCCTTTCCAACCAGGATGATTCTGTGATTCTGTGATAATTGTGAACTGTAATTTTCCTGTGTCTGTGTGACAGGTTTTGCTGTGTGCTTTGGTGGTTGTATCCCTGGGACTAGGTTTAGGACTAGGACTGAACTGTGGAGACCAGGAGCAAGGTATGTTTGTGACACTTTCAACATAAATACTGCCGAAGCTAGATCTGGTGGAGGCCTTCAGCAGATGCTCTCTTATAGCATGATGTAAATGCTCTGTGAAAACTTAGCACCTGTGAAAATAAAGTTCTTTCATTTTTCAAGCTAGGTTGTATAAAACCTGTACACTCACAATCTATACATGAAAAACCTATCCTAAACCCCTGAGTGCCTTGCTTCTCCTAGGAGTACTAAACCCTGTTCACAACAGGTTTGGAGATTTTATCATAATAATACTTTTAGAAAACTTGAGAAAAGAGTAATTATTGCATATAATACCTTGCAATTATCTAAACTATATATTTTATAGAAGAAAAGTGAAAGTTACACCAAATCAGCACATTAGCAGTGTGGTGCCTCTGTCTGTAGGCGCCACAGAGCAACCCTAATTATGGACTGACTGACTTTATTAGCTACATTGAAAACCAGACCTACCTGGGAAAGATGAATTAGCAACACATGGTATTACACTGTGGCGTGGGAGGGGAAGCCTCAGTCCTGAGCAGCATGCTCCTTTGTGGAGGTGTGTTTGCTAAGAGGGCGGTGGGAAGAGTGCTTGCTGATAAGGAGCAAAAGGAGTAGCAGTTGAGATGGGTGCTGTGGGTTTGTGGTCTTAGGAGGAGGGGCTAAGAAAGGAATCAGAAGGACCTGTCATTCTGTATGTTTAAAAAACAGCACAGTGTTTGCCCTTGGCGGTAGTACAACTGAGTTTGTTTATGTATATGCTCAGATAAGTTTTCTTATAGCTCCTGTAATTGTAGTGATTATTCCAAGTAAATGTTAATGAAATACTAAACTCCTGACCTCACATAGTTATGTAAATATTATTAAGAAATTAGAAGCATGGATAGTAAATTATAAGCGGTATGAACAGTTTCATTACAGACAGAGGAAAAGGTTTATATTTTTTCTGACTGAGACTCACCATGCTATATTCTATACCATTTTAAATCAGGTAGACTGTCTGAACAACTTTGAGTTGTTCAAAAGCCAATGGAGAGAGGAAAAATAAACTGAATACTCTAAATTCAGTTAAAAAAAAAACACAGAAAAAGTGTTTGCATATGTTTATGTACATTTGTGGAAAATTATAGCTCTTTCTTGATGGAACAGGCTCCAGTCATCAAACACTTAAGTCTCTATTAATTTTTTTAATCTCTTTTGATGGATCCATTTACTTGCTTGTTATTGTAATAATTTGCACAGCTTTCTTACGTTGAGCAATGATTGTTGATGTAAGCACTTAAAGCACAAGGTACAACATGAGAACTCTACACATGTGAAACAAGCTGGCTAGCTTGAAAAATGTTATTTTAGCTCTACATGGCTTCTACACAGTAGAAATTAAAACACAGATTTTGTAGGTAGTGCACCGTGCAAAAGCATGAACCTTTTTGGCAATTATAATAGAATTGCACCAGCAAATCTGAGTAGTTACACATATCCTTGTCTAACGGTGTGAGTGGGTAAGTGTCACCATTTGACTCAGGTCTGACAACAACACTCTCAATCCCCTCCCCCTCCCGCCCAGGTAGGGAAGGAGAGAGAGAAAAAGAGACTTGGCTGGATTGAAAACTAAACTACACAGCTTTAATTAAACACTAACATTAAAAGAAAATATATACAATTATATACAGATATGTTCAGTTATCTGCAAAAGCTTCTTGCCTTCACCCACCCCCAGCAACTCCCACAACATCTCCTGAGCTGTGAACAGCCCCCAAAAATCCCAGAGCTGTCACAGAAAGCACAGAGTCATGAGGGTCAGGAGAGCTTGAGCCTGGGGGTCAGTGGTGATGGATGGACAGAGTCTTCCCAGAACACTGGAAGAGAAGGGAAGGAGAAGCAGGAAGGAAGTTGTCATCTGTGATGTCTGACCTTCCTCTGAGCCTACGTAGATATATGGAATGGAATATCTCTGGTCAGTTTTGCTGTCTGTCTAACTCAGCCTCCTACAGGGGGGTCATAGATCTCCCTGTAGTGTCTAAGCCGGCAGGTCAAAGATGTGACCTTGAAGACCCAGCAGTTAGAGAAACATTCCATTCTTACCAGCTTTAGTTGGAAGGCTCTGTGACTAGTTAAAAGAAAGCTTACTGAAGGAAAAAAAACAAACACAAAAACAACAGTAAAAGGAAAATTGGCTTCATCCTGGCTCAAACCAGGACAATAAGAAAGCTGGAAATACAGGTGCTTAGATGCTTTTACTTATTTATGAATACTTTTGTTCATGATTGATTTTTTCATACAGACTCTGGGTAAACATTAAGAATAGCACTGGTAAAATCAGATTACAGGAATGATACCTGAGTTTGGAAGCCATGGCCAACAAGGAAAGATTGAAGGAGTGTGGGCTTTTTACAGGAAAAAAAAATGGCTAAAGGGAGCCCTGACAATAATCTCTAAATGTGTAAGTGGTATCTGAAAAAAAAAGAAGGCAGTAATACTGTGTGGGCAGGATACAGTGTAAATGTTTTCCATTTAAAACCAGATGAAATTTAGACTAACCTTTCATAGTGAATTTTTCTCCATTTTGTTTGTTTGCTTGTCTGTATAGTATTACAAACATTATCCTTTTCAGAGTTTGGAGGCTAACAGGTTGCACTAAATGATTCCTAAAGGCATCTTTAGCCCTACATTTCTATAATTCTCTAGTGAAACAGAAAAAGTATTAGGGAGAAGTCTAAAATAAATCATGAAACATGTTTTTTGTTTGGGTGTGGGTTTTTAATGCTGACTCATTATTTTATTTTGAATTTGTAGGTGAAATACCGTGGGTGGAAGAACCATGTGTATCACTTGAAACTCCTCAGTGTCCAGCTGGGTAGGATAAAATAATTTTGTCTTCTTAGCAAATAAAATAATTGTGATGGTTAGAAGCTACCCAGTGTCCTGAAGTAGGTTTTAATAAGGTTTTCATATTTACTGAGAATAAGGTTCCTGCCCCATAAAATATTCTCTTGAAGCTGTTTGTGGCCAGCAATGTTTTCTCTTTCTAAAACCCTTGTTGTTCTGTTGCACATTCAGTTAACATTTACAGTTTAGGGCAGAGTGCAGGAGTTCAAATCCAGACTGAAAGTCATTTTGCAGAGACCTGGAAAAATTGCTAGAGTTATCTCATGGTTCATGTATTAAAATTGTTCATAGTCCATTTTATGTTACCGTCTTGTATCTGTGATAATTCTGACAAATCACCCTATGCAAGCTATAATAACTGTTTGAATCTGTGATTGCAATTTTTTATCTAAGTAGCATGTTGTTTGGTTGTTGTTGTTTTTTTTTACTGGAATTATCTATGGGAAGGAAGAAAGGTGTGTTAAAAAGGAAGCTATGAAACTAGCTGTTTATCTACAAATGCTGAAACACAATAATTCTGATGTCCACCTCTAGGTAGTTTGCGCCTATTTTTTAACATACCAACTGCATCAGCTCACATCTGAGGATTTTACCCTTGTTTCTTCAGAAGTGTTATCTTAAGCACATTAGCAGCCGCTGCATTTCTTCTGTAGCTTTGAGTTCAATTTGTTAGGGGCCTTGAGGCAAAGAGGTGTCCTCCAGCTCTCTGAGAGCTGGGAAACTTGAAAGATATGCTCCACAAAGGACTGCTTAGTGATGTCTTCACAAAGGAAATGTGATAAGGTAAGGGTTAACACATACCTGGCATTGCAAAGAGATTACTCTTCCCAGCACTGAGGCCAGCTGATCCCAAGGTTCTATATATCCTAAGTAGCTTGTATTTTATTCCTCCAGAGTTTTTTTGGGGGAGGATTGTGTATTTGCTCTCAAAATGGAACTATTTGTTTATCTCACACTGTAATATTAATTCTGTGAAATACACAGAAATTTTTGATCCTGCTTTTAAAGGTAGAATTTATATTGTTAAAGATCTTAAGTCACCAACTCTCTAAATTCTTTACGTTGACAAACTCAGATTTTCTTGTAGGTTTGATCTGCCACCACTAATCCTGTTTTCGATGGATGGATTTAGAGCAGAATACTTGCAAAGTTGGAGTTCTTTGTTGCCAAATATTAAAAAACTGAGTAAGTTACCAAGAGTGCTTTGACTATTTGCTTTAAAAGTCTGCATGCAACCTCTCCAGTCCCTTTTACTTCTGTCATGCGTATGTGTTGCTCAGCAATAAGAAAATCACAAATCAAGTCTCCCTCATGATTTATATCTTTCCATTTTCATCTGTTCTACATTAATTCTTGTATTTGAGTGCACAGCAAACATGACTTTTTAACAAGGCCTCTAATACTGAGAACTAGCCATTTATTAAACAAATAGTTTGAAATATACAACAAAATACAGTTAAAAAAAAAAATCCAGAGAAGGATTTCCTGCATTATCTGTACTCTATCAAAAAATTCCAACTGATAAGGAAGTCAGCTTTGAAGTACAATATGAAGAGAAAATGCATTGCCTTATTGGGAATTTTTCCTTAAAGATGCACTTTTTCAAGCCAGATATTTTAAGCCATGAAAAAGAAGCTGCATATTTAGAAGTATGTCAGTGAATGTATGTTGCTGTGTAAGTGTGAAGTATGTTGCCACACCTCGAGCACTGTGTGCAGTTTTGGGCACCGCAGTATAGGAAGGACATCGAGGTACTGGACAGAGTGCAGAGAAGGGCAACTGGGCTGATTAGGGGTCTTGAGAACAGGTATTTCTAGATATTGGGAGAAATAGTAAGTTGAACATCTTTAGTTTGTGGTCTAAGGGTTCTAATAGTGAAACTCCATTAATGCACACTTCATTAAAATTTCCTAAATATTTTAGAGCTCATCTCTCAAGATATGTTCTACCTGGACAAAATGTTTGCACATGTATTCATTTCTTCTCAGCAGTAATAGCCTAAATTTACAGGGTTTGTATATGTTATGAACATATATTCTGTGTCTGTTGTGCTCATCTGAAAACTTCACATAGATGTTACAAATTTGTGGCTAATAAGGATATCCAGAAGTCTGAATTCATAGCAGTGTGCAAGCCTGACTTGTGCAAGTCTATTATTATTTGATGTCATTCTGACTTTGAAACAAACTTGATTCAGTGAAGAAATCATGCATGCACAAGTCAGTGTTCAGTTCCACTCCTTTAAAAGAGATGAAAAGGAAATGCCAAATTGACAAAAAGCATGAAACCCATGTTACTTGTGTCTTTCCAAGAAAACCTGTCAAACAAGAACAGATCTAATTCAGGGTTACTCATGTTTATGGTCAATTTTAACAATTGCTTATGCACATTCATGCTTACACTTCTCAGAAATCTACAGTGAAAAGGAAAGGGAAATTTCTTTCTTTGCAGAAGAAAAAAGGTAACACTGATTTTTAGCATTGAATATTTCCTCTTTATTAACACAATTAACCTAGGATTTTCAGTAGAGCTAATCAAGATAGTTGTTATAGAATATCTAGACTGTGAATGTATCTCCTTTACCATTCAAGAGAAATCCATAAAAACTATTCTCATTTTCTCTTGTGTTTGTCAAGTATTCAGCTCTTTTTTCAGCATTTTTAAGCTTTTTCTGCACCACACTGGAACAGTCTTGATGATTAATTTCAGGCTTTAATTGTTTAGTTGAGTTTGTTTAGTTAAAATCAGTTTCTCTTCTTTGGCTGAAACACTGTACATCCAAGACCAAATTGTGTTTGAGTGGGAATCAGACAATCATCTGACTACAGCTTAATATAGAACTGTTTCTCCATGTGAGCTAGATTTAAAAATGACATTAAAGCATCTTCTAGTCTTCACACCTTTGTTTTGTGGGTAAAGAAGTTAGCTAGCACAGTGAATTTAGATATTGCAGATGTTCAGGTGTGGTCAGTGCCTGAGATTGCTGAGAAGTGGTGCAATGTTTGGAGAGAAAGGTAGGCCACCTAGGATGGGATTCGCTCTAGAACAGGACACCTACACTTAGATAAGTTCTTGCAGGTGTCTGTGTATGAGATGTCAACATGCTCATTGTAGTCAGTGCTTTTGTGGTTAGTACAGTCTGTACAGTGCAGCACAAGAGCCTAGAGGGCAAGTCAGTTCAATAAACAGAGGGTGCCACAGGAAAAATTGTTACCTTAGCCTATGTTTCTACTATACTTCAGGGTTCTGTGGTATATCCTAGATGGCCTTCAGGACCTATGTCAGGAGAACTCAAGTCTCCCAGTGATCCTGCATCAAAACTGCCAACTTTTATGCAGATGTCCTGGAAATCTGAGGATATCTCAAAAGACACTGGACTCCAGAGCTTGAGCAACTGAGTCGTTCCCATGCATCTGGTCACCAGACAGCTCTGCAGGAATATCTTACCTGGGTTGACCTGAGGTTTCAGTCTCATTGCATGAACATATATGTGTAATGTCATCTTGGGTCTCAGAAGTATTTCAGACACATTTTTGGGTTGGCAGACAAATGAATGTAGCAGCAGTATCTGAAGGTGCAGCAGGATCATTAAAGATGTCTCAAATGGCCCAAGGCATCTAGGCTTTAGGGAGCTGCATTGAGTGTCCAGGGCCCATTGACTGCAAAGAGAAGGTAGGCGTAGCTCACCAGGAGAAGCCAGAAGGTATGCATCTTAATTTAGAGTCAGTTTTCCCCTCTAATACCACAGCAACTGACTGTGGTATTTTTTTGTTCGTTTGTTTTAAAGACTGTAAGTTTTCAATTTTAAAAAAAATTATAAGTAAAATTATTAACTCCATGATCTGTTACAGAAACATGTGGCACACATTCAAAATACATGAGAGCTGTTTACCCCACAAAAACCTTTCCAAACCACTATACTCTTGTCACAGTAAGTGAGAATTTGCTATTTTTCCTTTTCATTATCTCGACAACATAGAAAGGATTTTGTGATGCCAGTCTTTTTGTGGAACATGGGAGCTCAAGCTATAGGAATAAAAGAGAGAAGGATATGCTGAGGCACTACCTGCAGGCATGATCTATGTGGCTTTAAATGTGTGTTATCTAAGTCTGTCCTGTGAACCAGTTTTTCCTGATCTTAGTCTGTCCGACTGGATGCTGGTGAGTATGGGTAAGAACACAGCCGTCTGATGAGAGTGTGTGTTAGGATGGGTTTCACAGCTGAGGCACAGCCATGTGACAGATGCAGTGCTAGAGCACGTCAGGTATTAAATGAACAGGGGAGAAGACAGCGAAACTCAAGGGAATTTGACGGGCACGCTGAATTTATTGGCATCTGATTATCTCAGTTAGGAAAGCACGTTGTGATTCTGTGATAAAAAAGCCCTGAAAATAATTGCAACACTGCAACAATGTGCATTGCAACCTAGTTTAGGCTCCATTTGATTTCAAGATGCAGCCTTGTCTTTTTTTTAAAAATATTTTTTGTTTTCATTTTGCAGGGATTGTATCCAGAATCTCACGGTATTATTGATAACAACATGTATGATGTAGACTTGAACAGGAATTTCTCACTTTCGGGGACTGAAAAATTCCAATCTTGGTGGTGGAAAGGGCAGCCAGTAGGTTTCTTTCTCATCATGGTATTCCTTTATGTCTAGAGTGGCTCATGTGCCATATTCTAAAACAACAAAAAAAAGAGATACAATTGCATTTTATTTAGCTGTATATATTTGCAGTATGTGCTAAATATCCTGTAGGAGTCATATAATAGCCTGCCTACAAAACAGTTTGCTTTTTATGAAAGTAAAAGAACTCTAAGAATGTTAACTCTGAGACTTAAAATAATGTGTAACTTAGAATAATAAAATGTTTTGGCTAGCATTGAAATGGAACTCTTGCTGCAGGAAGCCACAGTAAATTTTTCATATGGTTTTATTGTGGGATTTTTTCATTGTTTTTGAAAACTAGCTACAAAATGAAATATAAAAATCTACTTCCAAGTTATAGACATTTACAAGTACGTTTACAAAGTCCAAGCAAGAAAGAAAGTAGAAAAGAGCTTAATTCCGTAATGAGCACTTGCATATAACGTATGCCTCTTTTCATTAAAAACCCCCACCCTCATTGTACCTATGGTTATGATTGATATCAGCCATTTACTAGAAATATCAAGCTGTAATAATGGTACAAAAGGACAAAAATACACGTGTAGCATATGGTGTATCTACTTAATAAACTTTTATATGTTAATTTACACACATGTATTTATACACGTGTGTCTATGTACTCATGTTTATAGGATGCTCAAGTACCCAAGTTTTGGTGCTATTGTTTCATGAAGGATTCCACCAGGTCAGCTGCACTCTTTAAAGAGAATAGAAATATGCCCTCTTATATTAAAGTTATTTAACTAGAATATGTAGAATTGAATTGAATTGAATTGAATCATTTCAGTTGGAATGGACCTGTAATGATAGTCTATTCCAACTGCCTGACAACTTCATGTCTGACCAAAAGTTAGTGTATGTTGTTAAGGGCATTGTCCAAACACCTCTTAAATGCTGACAGGCTGATAATACTCAAGAAATGGCAACATCCTGGCTTATGTGCTACTAGTTTTTTTTCAAAATGTGTATACAAAAAACCTGCTTCAAATCATATGGGGTCATTGGGCAACTGCATGATGTGTGAAAGAGGAAAGAAAAATACATGATTGCAGCCCATATTTCTGATCCAATCATTTTTTTTTACTTTGGTGACCTGAGGTCCTCCAGTGGTATAAATGCCATGAAATCATTTGTTTTTATCTTTACCCATAGGTCTGGCTGACAGCAATGTATCAAAATTTGAAATCAGGCACATTCTTTTGGCCAGGCTCCGATGTTCCAATTAATGGAACATACCCTACCTTGTACAGAAAGTACAACGGGTAAGTTTTTATAGGGCTTGTAGTAAATTCCTGTAAATTGGTCCAAAAATCCCAATTGCCATATTTATATTGCCACAGTGGAAGGAAACAAAATATAAGATTTTTACACAACAGTCTGAGAGATAGATACCATGTCACATCACCTTGCTTTTGCCATGAAACTACCAATGACAGTTGAAATTTTCAAAACCATTTAAGGGATTCACAATTCTAAAGTCAAAGAGAACTGTATATTCTCCTCTCCTAGAGAGTTTTGAAAGTTTCAGCCACCTGCCAACCACTGATCTTCTACTAGGAGAGCATCCTATAACTATGCCAATGATTACCAAACATAAAATCTACGCATACTATATAGGCCTTTAAAAGACTTGTACTTGGGAATAAGTTTTCAGTTAATCTGTACCCTAAGATAACAAACATAAACTCAGAAGCCACAGCAAGTGGATATAGAAGGCAGAAATTAATTGATGAGAGGATGCTGGATAGGGAAGCTACATCTACTCCCTTTGGTCTTGTGTGTGTGATAATGTGCACACTGCTGCTGAATCATAGTTCTATCTAGTTAATTCACAGGTTACACACATGAAAATATAGTGATTACCTTAATAGTATTTTTTTCCTTGTGGAAGGCATTGGTATTAGTAAATTATTTCTAAATTTTCATGATTATTCCAGTAAATCTCCCATGATTCTTCACATTTACAAATATAATCCAAAGCAAGTATATATAGCATATATATGTCTCATAAATATGTATATATGTAATATATAGATAGGAAAGGTATTGCAGTGATGTGCTGGAGTGGTACTCAGAAAACACCTGAGTCCTGTAGGTAACTAGCAAAGCTTCTGCATGACTTTGGGGGAAAGCAAAGCTATTAATGGGTGAATTCCTCCATAGGACACAAAGTGTGACCTTACAAAGATTTTGCAGGGGACCTTACTGACTTTTAAAATATGAAGGTCCAAGGTTTATACATGCTGGAAAGAATAAAAATTCAGGTTTATGTTCTAAACTTGAAATGTCTTTTTTTTTTTTTTTTTTTAAATGTATTTAATTGTAAATATATGAGTATTCCTACTAGCAACACATTTGGTTTACTAAAGCAGGATCTGCCTAATTTACCATTAAAAGTGATTCATTGAAACAAAAAGGAGGATAATAAAAATTATTGCTACTACCTTGTTAAAAATGCATCATTCTTGAAAACCAGACCTGTGACTTTACTGTATGACTAGAGGGTAGACACTTTGTATCATGGAGTTAGAAGTACTTATCAGAAAAAGGCTTCTTATCTTCTTTTTTGTTTGTTTGTTTATTTTGGGTGTTTTTTGGTGTTGTTTTTTCCTTTCCAGTTCATTTACATTTGAACACAGAATTTCAGGATTATTGGACTGGCTGGATAACACGAAATCTGAAAGGTAACAATGATATCTGGCTGGTTTGTGAGACTATAGTTTAGAAAGATTTTAATGCTTAGCAACTGAAATTTCTGTTGGTGTGTGTGAATCATGGAATCTTCCTCACTTCATAAATTAAAGTGTTGAGCTTAAGCTCGTTCTAGGATCATAGCTACTTGTTCTCAGGATAAGACTGTAGATACAAAAGATTAAAAAGTGTGCATATATCTGAATGGGATGTACTCTCATGAAAGTTTTCTTTTATTGTTGGGTCTTTTTTCATACTGTATGGCCTAGAGGAAACACGGAACTTCCAGTTTCTAGTCTAACTTTATGGATTAAAGATTTTATATGAAAGATATTGCACAAGAAAGGCTAAATATCTAAATAAAGTCTAGTAAACTGACTCATTATTTATTACTAAATAAAGTACTTTCAGACAGTAATTCAGGATGAAAAGTAAAAGTAGATGTCATTACTGACTGGTGTTCAACTTCGTGACATGTAAACAAGATTTGTTAACAGACTCCTAATATATTTGCCGTTAGGAGATACACTCTAGAGCCTCACTGCTTAATCAGGAAAAGATCCTTTAGGTGGCAGGTACACTTACATCTCAAAAAGGAACAGCTTGCTGTAGATTCTGAGATCTTAAAGTTTTTCAGAGGCATATCTGGACACCAATTAAATACAGTGGATACCGTTTCTGAAATTGTAGCTTCAGATAGTCTGTATTGATTAATTTTAAATATCAGAGGAATCGGAATGATTATATTTGTTGCATGGAGTATTATTAAGGTTTTAAAAAGTTATTTATATATTTAATTTAAAGTTTCATTTTCTTTTGTTTTTAAAATTAAATTGTTCTTTTGAAATGCTGTCTCCAAGTTCTCATCATATGCCACTCTTACTTATTTCTAACTCCAGGCCTGATTTCTACACTTTATATATTGAAGAACCAGATTCTTCTGGGCATAAATTTGGACCAGATAGTGGTGGTGTAAGTAGTTTTTGTGTTTTCCTTAGACTAAATGACAGTAAAAATGGTGCTGCACTATGAACTTTACCGATTTATAAACTTGGAAAGGACAGTGGGTAAAAAATTACCATGACTGTCCTATGAGTTTTTCTTAAGAACTCTTCCTTGTGGTTAACGTCATTGTTATGATTCCAGCACTGTATGAATCAAAATTGGTGTAAACCAAACAGACTGGCAGAAAATAATTTCAGATCATGCTGTTTTAGTGGTTGTATTTAGATTGAACTGTAGTTTTTATTGCCAAGTGATATTTGTAAGCCTGGCAAATTCTCAGAACTGTCTTTTATTTATTCCTAACTCTGTACTTCAATGTTTGCTAATTTGTAATCCAAAAAATATTACTTGAATGCAGGCAAAAAAATTCCATCTATAAGAAGCTTAGGACTTATCATATCAGCTCTTTCCTGGAATGATTGTGTTTAATAGATCTGAAAATTATCTTCAGCAGAAGGCCTTGTTGGACTGAACAAGGACAGAAAAACTGATCCATCTGTGGGAAGTTTTAGGGATAGTTTTAGGCTCCCTAACTGGAAAGGGATCTCCATTTCTCTTTGTATATAAAGGGCTTAAAACTCCATTATTGTCTGTGTAATTGTCTGTATTGTGCATTGTCCATGCATGCAAGAGATTCAAGAGAGTGCAGGAGAGCCAGGGAGACAAGGAAGGCACAAGTGCTGGGGCATGGAGTCCTCAGACTCAGTCAGGTACCGTCCTTGCTGGAGGACTTACAGGAAGACTGCACCAGCTCTGGAAGAGCAATCCTGGGTGAATGGCTGCAGGGTGGATGGTGCTGCATTTCTCCTATGTTATTTCAGTGGTGGTCAGTGGTTTTCTGCAGGAAGCTTGAAGGGACTGTAAATAGAGGGAACGACACCATGGCTTCTTGGGTGCTATGCTGGGGCTATAGCTAATACATATGTGTAAATATTTAGGAAACACTGCTTATTGTTAATATATTTACATGTGCATACTACAACAAAATTGTATTTATGTTTTAAGTCTGGCAATTTATATAAATTTGATCTGCATGTGATATTTTTTTCTTTCAATAAGCTAATTTCGAAGCTTATTTTTTCTAAAGTAATAGAAGAGTAATAATGGTGACATTTTTTATGTTGCATATTTTGTGGTAGAGTAGTGGAATTCTGCACATCTGTACTCTAATGGTGGTGGAGAAAGAAAAGAAGCAGCAATATTAAGGACCTGAAAACTAACAGAAAAGTTCACCTTTTTTCAGATTTTGGTTACTGCATTTAAGTGAGAATTTGAAATAATAACTAAATTAAGCTGGTTTATCTCACAGGTAATCAAAGCTTTACAGAAAGCAGATCAAGCACTGGGGATGCTAATGGAAGGACTTAAACAAAGAAACCTACACAAATGTGTAAACCTCATACTTGTAGCTGATCATGGTAATGTATATGGTTCTTTTTTCAGTTTCAGATTTCCTGAGTCATTGTTTCCTTCCTCTGTGTAATATGTGAGCTTACTTCTTTTAATCCATTTCATAATTCACTTTATTTTCTTTGCCATATATTGTATCAAAAAATAACTGTTTCTATACTGTCCTTCAGGGATGGAGAAGACCTACTGCAGCCAGTTGGAATATATGACCAATTATTTCAAAAAGATTGATTTCTACATATATGGTGGGCCTGCAGCTCGTATTCGAGCAAAAAATGTTCCAAAGGACTATTTTACCTGTAAGTGTTGACCAATCCTGGGATTGCACAATCAGCCTAACAGGAAACAAAGAATTAAATAAATAAATAGGGAAGATGGGTATCAGTAGTAATCGACAGAGTGGACAGCTTTCTGTTTCACTTAACCTGGCTTAAACTTGTGTTTGTTTTGGTTTTGTTCTGTTTGCTTGTTTTTCTGAATTACCCCTTTAGGTGAAACTGAAGGTTAGAAAAGCTTGTTGCAGACTCTGATTTGAATTTTCTTGGAAGTGGAAGGATGAAGTAAAAATTATTTTTGGTTTTGAACTGGAACTTCAGGTCTTTCATAAGTGCATTGCTCTTCACAGATTTCTTGTGCAACATGGGCAGAGTCAGTATTTTTGAAGCAGAACTGTTTCTAGCTGCACGTACAAAGTTACGGAATCTGAATCTTAGCACAGTGGGATCTAAACCTTGGTTGAGCCCTCTAGCTAGTATCAGAGAAGAACACAAAATTGAAACCATGTGTGCTGACTGACTTGGAATAGATACTGTGCTACCAGACTGAAATAAACCCCAAAAACAGCAGCCCAAAACAACCCAACAAAACAATCCCAAAACTTTCTCTATCAAGGAGAAGAAGGAATCACTTATCTTTTCTAATTGTTTCTGTATTTGTAGGCACAATATTTATACAAAATACAGCAGGTTTTCCTTGGTTTAAGTAGAAGACAATCTAAGACAGGAGCAGATTAATGAACAGGAGAGAATAATAATATTTTGTATGTGTCTTATTCTCTGTATAATTGTTGACTCATTTCCTCTAATGGTTTTATTTTTTCTGAAGGAATTTTCATTCTGAAGAACACTCAGATATGGTTTTTAGAAAGCTGATGTCAAAAAATTAAATTCATCCTTTGAAAATGTGGAAGGTGACAGTACTAAGACAGACAGGATTTTTCTCTGCTGCTGGAAGTGCAATAAAACAGAGATTATGTGGGAGAAGAAAAATTCATTCTGATGATGTGTCAGCTTTAGGTGTAGGTAGTCATCACCATAGCAGTCTGTCTTGATGTACCTCAAGTGCTAGGTACTTCCACAGGCTCCCACACCCACAGTTACCCTTGGTAATGCAACATTCCTGCATGTGGAAGGTTATGGTTCCCATAATCTTCACAGACTAATAAATTCAATTGTACTGATAAAAACCCTATTGAAATTTTTTTCATGGGGCTTTGGACCTTCAGCTGTTTGAATGTATGCTAACTAATCTTTTCTTGTTAACAGTTGACTCAGAAGGAATTGTTAAAAACCTCACAGTAAGTAAATGTTTTTTTAATTTTTTCTCATAGTTTCTCTTAATAGGTATCTGATCAAAAAAGCACAGTTCGTGAAAACCTGAGACTACAGTGCCAGTTTAAATAGTTTACTGACTTCAGTGTATCACAGGGGCAGTTCTGGAAGTTGTTACAAGATGATGCATAAAGGTTTGCCATGGGGGATCTCTTTTCAGAGCTAAAGAAAGAGCTTTCTGTGCTTCACTTAGAAAGAGAAGTGTGTGACTTCCTGTTGAGAAGGCTGGGTATAGCTTCATTATAGAACAAAATGCCACACATTGATGCTTTAGATAATCGGTATCTGTTAGCTCTGGACTACAAATGCTGCACCCAGGCTAGGTTAAAGCAATTTTTCTACACAATAGATAATGACATTGTAGAGCACGTTGCCACAGGGTGTTGTAGAGCTTGGAAATATAAAAAGGAAAGGGGGATTTCAGACACATTAATGGAGACTAGGCCTGTAAAGGCTATTAAACATGATCCACAAGCAAACTCTGACTTAAGGAATTCCTGAAGCCTGGAGGAAACTGAGCTGATACAGAGAAGGTTCATTCAGTACTTGACTTGTTTTTAAACACTTTCTCTAAGTATTGGATTCTGGAAATTCTAGAGATCTGATTTGACACAGAGTACTGGGAAAGATGGATCTTTGGCATGAGGCAGTATGGCTCTTTTAGGTTTTTTTAATACAAATCACTTAAGTACTTGCAGTGGTTTTAGATATGTTGCGCCACCACTGGGCTCCATATACCAACAGTTCTGCTCAGGTTTCTGCCATACTATGTGGAGGTGGCACTTAAGGGAAGATCCAAGCTTCTCTGTGTCTTCAGTGTAGACTGGTGCTCCTTATGGATGCACTCTGTGAAAGCTGAGCTTTGAAGGGTGCAAACAAAGGAGTGAAGAACAGAGTACAAAACAAAGGAACAAGTCTGTTTCTTTTACTGAAAGGTGATAAGATGTGAAGATGTGACAGTGCATGCTTTTACTTATACTTTTTTAGATAGATAATTCACTTCCTTTTTGGTTATACATTAAGACGTGTGGGATGAATGTGATGCAGAAACTAAAATACTGGTAGGAAAGTTGTATTTTTGTATTTCTTTGCATTTTTTACTTACAGTGAGTTAAACGTTTAAAATGCTTGCTCTCTATGTATTTTCATAATTCCCCCTTATTAAAGTCACTGCCAGTTTGTTATCTATTCTATGACTAGTCCAAGTTCAAGCAGCAGACAGATGTTTCGTCTACTATTTTAGAATAAATTCTCTCAGCTTGGAAAAATTCTCAGCTGTTTCGGCTGTGTGTACTTCTGGTAAATCACCACTAGAGGTCTTCCTGTAACATGTTGAGCAACAGTTGTGCAACGTTACATGTAGCTTTTGCCTGCCACTGCGGCAGTGAACATTCCTGTTCCTTTTTTTTTTTTTTTTTTTTTTTTTTTTTTTTTTAATATGAATACCTAAGAACACGTCCTTCATTCCCCAGCATCCAAAGTAGACACAGGAGTACGAAATCAATGGTTGGGAATATCAGAAGGAGCTTTTCCACTGTTACATCCTTGACCCCATTGATGAAGGTAGAGCATGTAATATCGAAGAGCATTAGTATGAGAAGAATAGTATAATTTGCATGTTCTCAGCCCCAGCTGAAACTTCAGCTGCTGATAGTTACAAAGATGTAACATCTCTACCTTACAGAAATGGGGTGGTGTAAGGACACTTCCTCTTTCCTTTTCCTTTGTATATTTTGTCCCTTTCAAGTTCTTAGAACAAAAGTTTTGGGCAGAGAAGGGAGTTGTGTGTTGTATATTAATTGTTAATCCATAGACATAAAGGAATGTTATATGTTGATTTCGTCTATTTTTCCCTTTAATTTGACTACCCTTTTTAGTATTGTCTCTTCTCCTGGGCTATCAAATCTAATTAATCCTTATTTTTCATGTTCTTGGATTCCACTGTGTGTCTTTGCTGACTACGCAGGTACACATACTCACATGTCATATAAATAATTCTGTGCAGAGTATACAATTCTAGCACTTAAAGGTGAAGGTGTTGGATCAGGCTCCGAGCGTACTGTATTTTGTACTGCCTGTGTGGTAAAACAGATCTGCTTCTCTGGCTTACCAAGCTTCCTGGGAGCTCTTCCCTCAGCATTTTAGGTGTTTCATGTTGTCCTAGTGCTGGATTCCTAACCAAGAGCAATGCTTCTGAAGCTCTGCCATGATGCTTGTAGCCAGCTGGAGTGGCTCCCAATGGCCATATGCAGTTAAATTTTTGCAGCACGTCGTATGGTTGTCATTAGGCTCTCAATGCCAAACTCATTCACAGCATGTCTGCTAACAAAACAGTTTTGTTTATACTTTAAAGGTGGATGTAAAAGCTAAGGCCTTTAGCTAACAGCTGAGCACTGGAAATTTGTATGGCATGAGATTACATGTTCAGTCTTGCAGCTGAAACCCTGGACTGTGCTGCATTATGTATACATGGTTTGCTTTGTTATTTATTGAATGGTAAAGTAATGGAAGATAGCAGATATAAACTGCCAGAGTACTTTCTCTTGGAGAGTGTAATCTTACATACTAGATACCAGTGACATTTGTATGGACACACAGACTAAACATTACTACTAAATGTGTTTCAGCCGTAGGAGTAGTTTTACCACAGTATTTGGGAACTTGCTGTACATATTATAGCAGTGTATTTTCAAACAATTCCAAAAAAAGCTGTGTTTCCTTCCATTGTTTCTTGGGCCAAAAATGAGATCTGCAGGTTATCTGAGAAGCTATCTGTGAATATTGGGCTTTGTGCTTACATTCCTGTCACTAAGATGTTTGTGATAATTTTGAATGATGTGGTTATTTTTACTACTGATTAGAACTCATGACTGGGGTCTTTCCTTTTGCACAGTGCAAAAGATCTCCTCAGCACTTCAAGCCTTATCTGACGCCAGACTTGCCAAAAAGATTCCACTATGCTAACAACATTCGTATTGATAAAGTTCATCTTTTGGTGGATAAGCAGTGGCTAGCAGTGAGGTAACATAATTTTGCGACTGTTATCTTTTTCATCCCATTCTCATCCTTTTAATTTCCTTCACAGCTGCCCCATTTCCTGTTTTGCTTTAGACTTGTTACATTTCCCTCTTTGTTACATTTAAAATCTTGCTAAGTGTAAAAACGATACGTGCCTTATTCATAAAGCTGAGAATGTTAGTATTAGTACAAGTAAAATCTTAACAGTCTAATGAAAGAATCCTCATTACTTCAGATCAAATTTTTACCAGAAAAAAAAAAAAAAAAAAAAAA